TCTGTTTGAGAGAGATTCAGATACCTCTCGTTCGTTCCACCCCTACACAGAGTTTTTGCTATTTGGATAAATAATGTCCGTAGCAATACATGAATAATTAATGTATATGCGATAATACATCTATGCATATTTCCACCTAGTTATTTAATACAACTGCAAATAATTCTATACATTCTTCTGCTTGTGTTACACAAGGCGAGTGCTAACCATCAATGATAACAATATCTCTTGCCTGTCCCAAATTTTTTTGCTTCATGTTATGTGGTTGATCTTTCGTTTATAGGCGGATTACATATTGGTAAGTGTAAATAAATATTCGGTGAAAAATGAGAGTCTCTCCTACCATGCATCCGTAGTTATCCTGTGCATTAAATTAACCGCCTTGTTCAATTGAAATTGGCTCAATATACGCTAAAACACCATAGGTGGCACTGCAAATATTTGTGACAGTATCACCACTAATGTAAAAATACGAAGTTTTTTGTCTGATTCCAATAAGCTACCAGGAACAGTATCCAGTTGGAGAATGCTTACTGATACAACTTTGTTGCATTAAAAAACTTCCTATTGCTGTACACAATGGATTCCTCTTTGTGGACACTTAGCTTTTCTCAAGCGTCTTCAAATCATTGACTCACTATATAGTTTTAGACTAATATATTAGTAAAATTTCCTCTACTGCATCTGCCTTCCCTACCACTGGAGGTAACTGTAAACATCCCTCGAATTATTTGCTGAGAGATGAAGAGGTCCAGATACACAGCTGTACAATTAAACCATTTGTGCGGAACGACGCCCCGGCCAATTGCCTAAACATAAAGTTGATTGGCCATCAATAATGTTTCACTTGGGAGCAAATGAAAATGTAAGCAGTGACAAAGTGGCAAGGATGCACAAGTCATACTCAGGAAGTTGGTTCGATAAAGGCCGCTGGACCAAGTGGATGCCCCTGCCACCGGCGCATGGACAATCAAAGCCATGACTGTTCCATCTCGCTTCAGCAACATGAGCTTAGCCTGGTCAAGTGAGCTCCGCTTCAAGTCCGCCTACTCACTTGGCTACCACCTGAATGGCCCACTTGAGCTCACTTTTTGGCCAGCTTCTTGGCCGATAGTAAGGAAGAAACACATCGTTGCATTCATCGCTGTCTTGGCGGACGCTCTCGACAAACACAAGGCTCGTTTTCACTCAGCATATGCCTGATGGGTGAATAGCAATACACAATCAAACTTACATCACGCACATTTATATTATGCAAGATGTTACTATTATGGTAGAGTGATTAGATTGAAATTTCTCATCACCCATCTATCATCCATTGCTACCTCACCCTTTGCTTCTCTTTTCTCTCTCTCTCTCGCTCTCTCTTCCTCTCTTTCTCTCTCTCTCACTTTGACTCTCTCTTTCTCCCTCTCAATCTCTCTCCTCACTTGCTCCTTGACTCTGTTTTACTTGTAGCTTTCTCTATCTCACTCACCTGCCCATCCTCAAACTCCACCATGCGCTTGTCGGCCAAGTCGGCCTTGTTACCGGCGAGTGCGATTACGATGTTCGGATTGGCCTGCCTCTGCAGTTCCTTCACCCAGCTCTTGGCTCTGTTGAATGTGTCCTACAAAAGGGATAAGTAAATCACGTCATAAAAACATCGTCCTCAAAATCTCCGAGGAGAGCTTCGACGATTCTCGAATCACTTACGGGTAAATTTCTGCATGTATTTCCGACTGTTTGAGTACTTGCCGGCATTCTCTGCCGAACCGAGTCGTTATGAGAACCTAAACTACTGGAAAAACCTGCAAGGATAGAAATATGTATGCACGCATACCTGACTTGTGATGTCATAGACAACGATTGCCGCCTGTGCGCCTCTGTAGTACATCGGGGCAAGACTGTGGTACCGCTCTTGCCCTGAAATACGTATGGGTGTTATAATGCATCGAGCAACCGATACACTGCAGTAGTAGTTATCTGATATCAACTTTATTGTGACATTATAATGAATTTCTGATATCAATAACAATTGCTAGTTGTTCCACTAACTTTATCAAATAACATTTTATCATGAGTTATGTAGTTTGTTTTATTTCTTATTTTTTATTTACTTATTAACAATTATTTTCTTATATATATAAAATAAATGTGTTTTAATTTTGATACATTTTTGAAGATGGATGAAACATATGCCACATGGGATTTATGAGAAAACTATGAGTTTTTTTGCCTAAAAATATCAACCTGTTCTCTGGAGCACCATGACATGTAAACGAACATGTACTGAATTCATATCATAAACTTGCCCCTGTAATATGATAACTCAGAAGAGACAAAATAATCCATAGTCCAGACACACCTTCCCTAGTCCGAGTTTCCTTTAACTGATTCCCACACCGACGATTTTTAATGGATCAAACAAATCTACAAAAAATCCTCAGCATCAGCATTGGTCGAAGGAAACTCGGACTAACCTTCCCTGTGCGCATGCATGCGTTACCTGCGGTGTCCCAGATCTCAAACTTGACGGTGATGTCGTCCAGGCAGACAGTCTGCGTGAGGAAAGCTGCGCCTATCGTGCTCTCCTGGTACTCATAGAACTGCCCCTTCACGAAACGCAACACGAGACTGGACTTCCCCACAGCGCTCTCGCCCAGCAGCACCAGCTTGAACTGGCATATCTTACCCTGCAGGCTACTGCCCGCCGGTCGTTGCACCTGACCCCTGTTCGCCATCAGTGCGCTTCGCTCAAGAGGTCAAGGTTCGGTCAAGAGTCACTGTACAACACAAGTGCGCGCTAATGTCTCGTTTCGTGCCCGCGTACACAAAACCTTGACTCCGCGAAATAGTATAGTTTTTATTTGCTAGTCTGACGGCGAGTCTATCGAATCACAAGTCTATCGATTGCGCACACGTAGCTCAACCACTGCTCTGTTAGCTCGGTCCAGTTCCGCTATATTTCGACGAATCTCGTTCGACGCACGCTACCGCGTGACGCACGTCTATCGATGTCGAAAGTCTCGCGAATATCGACAGTACCTAGTAGCGATACTTGGTCGAGTAGTCCTTCGGCGAGACGACAAGACCGCGACCCTTGCGCGCTCCGCGGTACACCGTCTCGACAATGTCAACCATCTCCTGCTTGTCCTCGAGCGCCCAGTTGATCTTGTTGTTGTTGCCAGTGCCGAGGTCGATCATCATGTGCTTGTTGCGGTAGAAAAACATCACGGTGCACGGGTCGTACAGCTCGTACATCTTGTTGAAGTCGGGCACCTCGGTGACATCGACGAGGTAGATGACGGCAAAGTTCTTCACCTTCTCGGCGATGCTGTATAAGACCTCGTCCATCTTCATCGACGTCGGATCCCAGTCGTGGCCGAAACGGATGACTACTACGCGGTCTTCTTCGGACAGGATGGCCTGGTCGACTTGCCAGCCGTTGTGGAGGTGCTGCAGCATGTACGACATGGCGGCGCTTGGCTGGTGGGGCGCTAGCGATCTCGCCCAACGTTCTCGCCCCGGTGGCGGTGTCGGCGACCGGAAAGAGCTGCGTCACTGCGCGAGAACGAAACATGTGACGTGTAGTAGTAGCGGTGTATGCATACATGACGTGTTAAGACCGAGTAGAAACAATGATGCACTCGGGTAATTTTTGGTTAAGAATAAGAGTTGTTACAGTAATGGTGTAACCTGTCGGTTACATGTCATAGGGTCAGTGGACTGGCGTGACTGGTGACTAGTCAGTATAGTCTCACTGGCTGGCTGTAGGCCTACCGTGCACATGACCACAGGCACTTGGAGCGTTTCAATAAAATATAATGCTAAATAAATACGAAATCTATTTACTACCAAAGTCTTAATGTTTCTATACTCTCTTTCACCTATTATTGCCGACAATTTCCTGCAAATGCCATCCAAATGCTCATCTGCAACAAACACAGGCTGCCGCTGCACACTGACACATAAATATAAAGCAGGTAGGAAAGCGTGCTGCCAAAATTCGCTTGACTCTCGCTTGATTTCACACGAATACAACACAAATATTCAACCATTCTACTCCATCTTTGTTTCTATTTGAAGAACAGTGTTCACTTGTTATAAAAACATACTGTCTGTGTTCATAACCGAACTGTGTCACGCGAAATCACACAAAGCCTGACAAAATTCTCGCGTTCGCTCCCGTTGCGCAGTTTATGTAAATGGCTGTCAGAATCAGGAAACACCCACCGGCGCTCTTCGTGACCTCATTTTTGCGCCGCATTATTGCAACGCTCCACTGGCGGCTTTGACAAGGCTCGTACGGGAGTTGGAAAGCAGCGTGGTAGTTTCCCAAAATGCAGTGCGCCGCCTATAGCCCTGTACTTGCAGCCATTTACATAAACTGCGCAACGGGAGCGAACGCGAGAATTTCGTCAGGCTTTGTGTGATTTCGAGTGACACAGCTCGGTTACGAACACAGACACTATGTTTTTATAACAAGTGAACACTGTTCTTCAAATAGAAACAAAGATGGAGTAAAATGGTTGAATGTTTGTGTTGTATTCGTGTGAAATCAAGCAAGCGTCGAGCAAATTTTGGCAGCACGCTTTCCTACCTGATATATATTTATGTGTCAGTGTGCAGCGGCAGCCATGGCGGCCACAGGCACTTGAAACGTCTCAATAAAACAAAAAAATTTAAACACGAAATGTATTTACTACTAAAGTCCTAATGTTTCTCTACTCTATTTCGCCTATAATCACATGTAAACACTGTTCAAATGCTCATCTGCAACACACAAGTACACCGCACGCCCGCGCTGTGCACAAACAACATGAATAAGAGAGCAGGTAGGAAAGCTTGATCGCTAAATTGGCTCGACGCTCGCTTCATTTCACACCTTCACAGCACGAATACACATCCAACAGCTTCCATCTTGGTATCTATGTGTACATAAATGTTCACTTGTTCGAATTATAACTCTGCCCTTTGTTCTTACCTACTCCCGCCAGAGATATCTCGTGAAATCCTGCAGGAAATGTTCTCGCCGTAAAAAAGTAGAAGATGTAAAGAGGACGTATCATCCGAAAATCCCTAACCGGCGCTACTTTCGATCGATCGCTGTAGTCGTGTGTGTGACGACATGCCCGCGCGCATTATGCTTGGCTTAGCGGGCCTCAAAATGGAGGCTCGGAGGCCGGCAGCAGCTCATCCCGGCATGCAATGCGCCGCCATTACTCGTGTATAAACAGACATTTCGTCCTCGGTACATTTTCACGGCGAGAACATTTCCTGCAGGATTTCACGAGATATCTCGGGCGGGAGTAGGTAAGAACAAATGGCAGAATTATAATTCGAACAAGAGAACATTTATGTACACATAGATACCAAGATGGAAGCTGTTGGATGTATTCGTGCTGTGAAGGTGTGAAATGAAGCGAGCGTCGAGCGAATTTAGCGATCAAGCTTTCCTACCTGCTCTCTTAGTCTTATTCATGTTGTTTGTGCACAGCGCAGGCATGCGGTGTACTTGTGTGTTGCAGATGAGCATTTGACCGGCATTTACATGTGATTATAGGCGAAATAGAGTAGAGAAACATTAAGACTTTGGTAGTAAATACATTTCGTGTTTACATTTTTTATTTTTATTCAGACGTTTCAAGTGCCTGTGATGGCGGCAGCCAGTGTTTGTTGCAGATGAGCATTTGAACGGAATTTGCAGGAAATTGTCGACAATAATAGGTGAAAGAGAGTATCGAAACATTAAGACTTTGGTAGTAAATAGATTTCGTATTTATTTAGCATTATATTTTATTGAAACGCTCCAAGTGCCTGTGCCTGTGGCTGTGCACATGACGTGGCACAGAACCTCACATTTCCGTATTTCCTAATAGATTGAATGTACTATATTACGTAAATGATATAACTACGTGGTTTACGTTTGAACTTAAACTATAACAATGACATACCCAACTTAAAACGCTTTAACCTAACCTCAAATATGTTTGCAATTTTATGAATGAAAGAACTACAACATACATACATAAGTTACATGGACGTTGTCAGTGATTTGCACTAACTGCGCCACCTATCGGCGCTATTTGGCACAGCAAACGATCGATTGTGCAGCGTAGTGAGCGTGACGTTGTGCAGAGTCGGCCAGCCACGCTGAAGCCTGAGCTACGCAATATTATGCGATAACAAACGTTAAAAATATATAGATAAAATACATATTATTGGGAGTAAATAATTAAATTAAATTGTAAGGAATCAAGAAGAATAAATTTGAGGACTAAATAATAAGGCGCGAGGTTAGTAGATGGAGCCTTGGAGGCAGAAGATAAAGGAGGTACGTGACAGGGGTGATGAGGGGAGGTGAAGAAGGGAGAGAACTTGGTAAGAATTTCTTGGAAGAGTGAATTGAGGAGGAGGGGTAAGGTGAAGGTAAGCGGAGTAAGCCAAGTCACCTTCAGCACCATCCTGTTTCAACACGCCACAGTTTACACGGCGGGTGGCCGCAATCTTGTGTCTTAAATCTTAGACAATTTTATCTAAAATTACAGTCTGGAAATTTTATATGAAATTGTATAGAACCGTTAAAAAAATTCATTAAAAATTTGAGCAAAGCGATTTGTTAATGCGGTTTAAATTGTATAAGCTTCGACATTTTTGCTTGCCCTAATCAAGGGTTGTAGGCACGCTCTATTTTTCGTTTTATCTTAATTGCTTTTGCATTTTTTAATTAAATAAAAGTTGCAAAAACTTAGCGATCCTGTAAATGCACAGTAGCACCTGCTGAAGCTTGGTGTCACTTACTGTGCAGACACATAACGTCATTTGTTGTTGAAAAGCCAAGACGCTGAGCTCTTATGATTGTATTCGTTAATGAATAATTTGTTATTTGACTCTTGGTCCGTGTATGCGCCAGGAAATGCAAGCACGCGATTGTAGCAGTTGAAAGTTAAAGTTATTTAACTAGAACATACTTATTTTGGGCACATAATATTGATTTTTGATGTCTATTACTTAATCGGACGCACTTTTATCGATTTTATGCCATTGTGAAAGCGCGTGCGTTCGCATGTGTTGGTGCGTCTGCGCATAGTTAGTAGAGTGAGTCTCCCTCTACTAACTCTGGTCTGCGTGGGCGCGTGTATGTGAGAGCGCATGCGTGCGCATGTGCGAGTGCGTCTGCGTGGGCGGGTGTATGTGAGTGAGCGTGCGTGTGTGCGTGTGTGAATGTATGCGTAAGCGCGTGTATGTGAGTGTGCGCGTGTGCGTGGTTACGTGTATGTGAGCGCGCCCGCGTGCGTGGGCGCGTTTATGTGAGCGTGCCGCGTGCGTGTATGCGTGTGCGAGTGTGTGCGTGTGCAAGTGCGTCTGCGTGGGCGCGTATATGTGAGCGTGCGTGTGTGCGTGTGTGCGCGTGTGCGCGTATGTGCGTGTGTGCGTGTGTGCGTGTGTGCGTGTGTGCGTGTGTGCGTGTGTGCGTGTGTGCGTGTGTGCGTGTGTGCGTGTGTGCTTACGAACACGGGCGTGCGTGCGTG